AAAGTACGTTCTGTGGGCTGTTTATAGACATTTGTTGCAAAGAAGAAAAGGTGGCGTGTGGTGGAATGAGTTTAAAAAAGCACATCCAAGACACTACCTGGCTGCAAGCCAGACTCACAGGACTTCTGCCTTTGTTGTTTTCTCCTTGCTGAGACGAGACACCCAAAGTTAAAGGGGGAAAGGTTTGCTGGGCTCACAGAAGCTTCAGTCCCTTGTCGGCTGGGTCCAAGGCAGGGTGTCGTGGCAGAGGAGAACCAGTTCACGGCGGGCAGAAGGTAGCAAAGCAACCAGAGACAACCACAGCTTTCTGTGCCTCACCTCCTTTTTGTTTTGTACCGGGGATTGAACTCAGGACTTGGAGCTTGTGAGGCGGGCGGCAGTGCCATGTCCCTTTATATCTTATCCAGACGGCTTAGGGCAGGCAGCACTCACACCCTGCATCCTAGGGCCCTCGATCCTAGCACTGCACCATGAATTAATCCCAGCACCACACACTCTAGATCCAGACACCTTTGAAAAAGACCCACCTATGACCACGTGAGGCTTTGGGGGACGTCTAGACACAGCCATGACAACTTCTCAGAGCCTTTGTATTGTGCGTGCCGGGTGTAAATCCTCAAGAGCCTGGGGAGCTCCAGGAAAGATCATTTCCTACTGTAATCCTAGCTACTCTGAAGGCAGGAGGATCGCAAGTTCAAGGCGAGCCTGGGCAACTTGGCAAGACCCTGTCTCAAAAATTTTAAAAAGAGCTGAGGACACGCCAGTAATCCCGGCACTTGGGAGGCTGAGGCAGGAGGATCGCTGCAAGTTTGAGACCAGCCTAGGCTACATAGCAAGTTCCTGGTCAGTCTCAACTACATAGTGAGACCCTGTCTCAAAAAACCAAACCAAACCAAACCAAACAAAACAAATCACCAAAAAGAGATGAGGATGTAGCTCACTGGTAGAGCACTGGCCTAGCCTGGGTTCAATCCTCAGCACACTGAAGCATTTTTCCAACTGATTCTCAGGAAGGCTGCAGAATGGGCTGGAAGGGCAGGACGGGCAGAATGCTCAGGATGAATGGGTGAAAGAGTAGCACAGCCCTCCTGCTAGCCAGGTACCAACCAAATCAGGGCCTCTGTCCTCCCAAGCTTGCAGCCCAGGGACAGGCGTGGGCTCCCCTCCAGGACGGAAGACGCGAGCGCCACACACAAAACTGCATCCTAACACAGGAAAGACACTGGCTGCTTTACCCCCTGGCACCGAGGCATTGGCTGGCTTCCCCTCCTTTGTCTTTTCAAGAATCAATAACTGATCCGAGTCCAGGTCAGGTGGTTGCAGTTGATTCTTTAACCCTCATTGATAGGGTCCCAGCATTCATTCCCCAGAGGAGTATGGGATCAGTCAGCTGCCATCTCTTCGGAGCCCTGGGCTCCAGGGCCCACCCGACGTCTGGGTTATTTTTTATGTTATTACATTTTTGAGGCAGGGTCTCACTATGTAGTTGAGACTGACCTGGAACTCACTACATAGCCCAGAATGGTCTCGAACTCACAGAGATCCTCCTGCGTCAGCTTCCTGAGTGCTGGGATGACGGGTGTGCGCCACCATGCCCGGCCTTGTCTGGGTTATTTTTAGTCTGTTCTGTTCTCTAGAATAGGGATCCAGGCCCTTGGCACTGGGATGGCTTAGCTGGGCCTGGGTGGGAGGCTGGCATGGTGACAACGATAGTAATGCCAGCTTCTGGCCCGTCCCTCACCAGCTCTGCGGCCCCGGGTCCTGGGAAATGGGGTGATGTGGCCCCCCCCTTTCACCCTGGGCAGACGTAGGAGGAGTTCAGGCCCTTCCCCGCCCCCCCCCCGAGACACAGGATGGGAGGCTGCCAGCTCCACAGACTTGGGACTCCAGCTGCTGGGTACCTTGGAACAACCACTGGGCCAGGGGCTGGGAAACCTGGGCCCTGGTTGCACGGTGTGACCATCTCTGGACCTCAGTGTCCTCCTTGGGTCACGGGGTTTGAACCCTGCCTTGGTGTGGTGGGGTAGCCGCCCTCCTCCCTAGGGGTCTTGTGGACTCATAGTTGGGGGCTTTGGCAGCACCACCCCTGCCTCACAGGATGAATTAGAATGAATCTGCTCCCCAGGTCTCTCTTTTCAGTGGCTTAATATCGGCATCAGGGTAAAATCACCCTTCGAGGGCCATAAAAAGTGCTCAGGGATGCAGCTCCTGCCTAGTCTCCGAGGGCCCGTTTGCTGCCCAGCCTCCTCAGGCTCCAGTTCCAGCTGACTGCGATTCCCCGAAAGCTTCCCGTCCCACCCTGTGCCTCGCCGGTGCGTGTGTTCTGCTCTGAGGGGCTTTTTCCCATCCGTTTACCCCACACGCTTCTCTTTGGTCTTCAAGTCCAGGCTCAGCTGTAGCCGTGCGATTAGGGCCGAGTGACGGAGGATGAGAGTGCGGAGGAAAGGCTCGTGGGGTCCTCACCCGGGCCCGTGAGGCTGCTCACCCCGAAGCCTGAGTCGTTAACTAACAACCGTGATTGCCGCAGCTAATTTTATGCCACAAATTTAGCAGTAAACAAAGCAAACTGAGCTCTGAGGTCTGCACCTGGCAGAGCTGGCTCCTTCTGGCTGAGCCGCTCCCCTGTGCTGCCAGTCTGGAGGCAGCCGCTGCCTGGGCTCCCTCGCCCCACGCTCCCCGCTGCTTCTCCCTCACAGCCATGCGTCCCTCACGTCCCTTCTTTTTCAGCACCCTGGGGTCACCTGTGGCCCCCTGATTCACGGTGGCCTCCCCCATCCTGAAATCTTTCACCTGCAAAGTCTCCTCTGCCGCAGAAGGTCGCAGGGTCCCAGGATCTGGGCATTCAGGTGTGGACATCTTTGGGATACGATCGGTCTGCTTGTCACACCCTGGAAGCTGAGAATGAGTCTGTCCGGAAGGAGGAAGGGAACAGCACCCTCTCTGGCCTCAGTTTTCTCATTTGTGATCAGAAGGATGGGACCAGCCACAGGGCCCCAAGTCTTCCTGAGGAGACCTTCAGAGAGCCGGGATCTGCCCCCAAAGCAAGAGGACTGAGGTCAGATGTCCTCCCCTCTGCCCTGGGTGACAGCTGCCTGTGTCGAGCCAGCGTGCCCTTTGGGGTTTCTGGGTATCCTCACAGCCCTACCGGCATGGCTCAAGTAGGGATACAGGGACCCCGAGTCCTTACACGGTGCTGCACCTGGCTGAAGACTAGCCCTGTTTCTCACTCAAATATTTCTCAGGGCAGAGTTTGGTGATCTAAGTGGGAGAGAAGATATTCTCATTGAGAAACAACATGGAGAAGTTCTGGGGGAGGCGAACGAAGTTGGCTGGAACTTGGGAAGCCAGGCTGGAGAATCCATCCTGAGGCAGCCGGCGAAGGAAGAGAGGAGGAAACGGAGGCCTGTCCTGGAGGCGCTGAGAGAGAAAACAGGTGTGTGCAGCGGGAGCGCGAGGAGATTGATGGCCTCCCGGGGGACAGGGGGCCAGGATGGCGCAACTCTGATGCCGCGTCCAGCCGCCCCCGCCCGGCCCCGCCTCCACGGGGTCTTCTGTAAGAGGCTTCATGGGGACCTCCTGCAGCACAGGCAGATGTTCCAGAGGAGGCCAGATGCTGAGAAACAGGGGAGGGACTGGACCCTCTGGGCTTGCAGGGGTGGGGGAGGAAGGCGGGACAGGAAATGAGTGAGAAGGGAGAGTGATCTTCAGTCGGGGCCTTTGTGCACCGCTAATCCTCAAAGCAGCTGAAGGAAGCAGGTGTCCGGCCCCGTTTACAGGTGGCTCGACCGAGGTGGGCACCCGCATCTCAGCTCTGACTGCCCACCTTCCCCTCACCCCTGACCACCTTGCCGCACTGTCACACTCCCCAGGACGCCCTCGCACACACCTTCCTGCCTCATTGTCCTTAGGCTGGCTCCTGGCTTTGCCTGGCCTCCTAGGGGGAACCCACCCAGCCTGCCCTAGCCCTGTCCTGCTGCACTGTCTGTCTGTCTGTCTCTCCAGCCACCAGGAATTCCTTCTGCCTGCTCCCGTCTGAGCTCAGCCGCCCCTCCCATCGGGTCACAGAAGCAGCTGGAGGTTGGGGGGCTGCTCCTTCACCGGGGAGGGCAGGGTGCCCCTTGGCAGGGGCCCCACATGGTAAGAAGTACAGAGGCAGCCGCCCAGAGGCCCCAATGAGGTGAGAGTCTTGGCTCCCTCTCCAGCTCATAAAGGATGTTAACAGCCTCCTGGGGGCCTGTGAGGGGCGATCAAAGGGAAAGGAGGCAGCAGAGAGAGTTCCTCAGTTCAGGGTCACCCTGGCACCTCCTCTCTGCCTGTATCCTGGGAGGCTGCAGTTTAAGGGGTGTGCTTTAGTCTGGTTTCCCACTCCTTTTTGCCGCCCACCTCAGACAGGGGCCCTGGGCCCCCCACCCCTAGGGTCTGCCTCTCCTGCTTCCCCAGTGGGGTTCTCTCTGATGTGCACATCACAAGTACATTTCTTTGCAGCCTGATTTCCCTCCCTCCTTCTCCAAGCTACTAGGGCCCCGATCCTCCCAGACCTTGCTCTGTCTATAGTGACCCTGGCCAGCCCCGAGGCCCATCCCCTGCAAGTCCCCAGCTGTCTGTTGCCCAGGCCCTTCCCTTGTCTCCTGCCTCCTGCCACACCATCGATTTTCACAATGAACAGGCTCGGGAGGACAGGCGTCACCCTCTCAGGGTGCAGCTCTTCCGTACAGCTCTTCCTTCTCCTCCCAACCTCGAGACTGGCCTGGGACCCCGCATGGGTCAGGGACTCAGAGCCAAACATTCATAAGCTGGAAGGGGCTTAGAAACGTCTGCCCCGTATCACAAAACAGACAGGGAAACTGAGGCTCCCACGTGGGTTTGGAGTCTCCATTCTCTGGGTCCACTTTGTGTTTCCAGTTGAGGTACTTATGGGTCCAGAAGTCACACAGCCCACGGCCGGCTCCCCGGGTGGCTTTCTAGCAGGACTGTTCGCTGATGGTTTCAACAAAGGACAGAGCCAGACAAACAGGAAGTTGGAGAACAGAGAAAGAGGAAGAGGCCTCCTCCATGCGTCAAAGTTTTACCAACTAACTCTACTGTGCCAGATTTGATCACAGAAGCAGTCAAGGCCCGGCCTCTAGGGCAAAGGAGCAGGGCAGACCCCTGCCCACTGTGCTCAGGTAAGTGCCTGCCGGAGCTCCGTCACCTTGCCTGGGCAGGGCAGCACAGGCCTGGGAGCGGAGGTGACATCCAACTAACTGACGGGGGGAGGGTGGTATAGCTCAGCCAGGTGGCAGTGGGGACAAGAGCATTCCTAGCAGAGGTGACTACAGGGGCAAAAGCCAAGAGAAGTGAAAATCTTAGTCCATTCTGGATTAAAAATTCCTCCTTTGCCGGGGATTTAGCTCAGTGGTGCTGCTGCCTGCCTCAAAAGTGTAGTTCCTGAGTTTGATTCCTGATACACCCCTCCAAAAAAAAAAAAAAAATGGCCAGTAGCTTCCTGGGAATTGAGGGGCAAGAGACCGGAAGTGGGCTTAGAAAGGTGTTCTGGACCCACCTGTGAAGGCCCTTTAATGTTTTATCTTGAAAGGAATGGGGAGCTCACCTCATTAAGACAGGAAGTGAAGGGGCTGGGGATTTAGCCAGTGGTACTGTGCCTGCCACATAAGCACAAGGTCCTGAGTTCGATCCCCATAAGCAAAAAAAGACAGGAAGTGAAGGATTGGATTGTATTCAGGGATGGAGCGCCAGACAGCAGCCAGGAGGAAGGAATCGAGTGGGAAGCCTCCTGGGAAAAGGCTGGAGGGTCCAGGCAGGAGAGGCCCAGGGCCTGAGCTGCCGCATACCTAGGAATCAGAACCCAGAGCAGCCCATTTCACGAGGAAACTGACCAGGGTCCACAGCACCTGCCTGTGGGGTTGCAGAGGGGAGGAGGGTGGGATTTCCATCCCCGTATTGCTGATGTGAGTGGAACAGGGAGGGGATGAGGGACAACGAGATCAGCTGCCGGCACGTTGAGGGAGAGGTCCCAGGACAGCTGGCTGGGATGGCAAGCAACCAGCTGGACAAATGAAGACCTGTCAGGACGGCATCAGCATGTTTAGCTCAGAGTTTGTCTGCTCAAGCCCTGAAGTCAGACAGACCCAGTTTCAAGTCCAGCCCCCATGTCCCTGCTCTTGGATCTTAGACAACTCCCTCAACCTCTCCAGCATCAGTCATCCCATCTATAAAACAGGGACAGTAGCGGGGCATGGTGGCACACACCTGTAATCCCAGTACTTGGGAGGCTGAGGCAGGAGGACCATCAGGAATTAAAGCCAGCCTGGGCTACATAATGAGTTCAAGGCCAGCCTGGACTTTTGTCTCAAAAAACCAAAACACAATAATAAAAAATAAATAAAATGGGGACAGTAGTGATGAGAAACAAATGAGACCATCTTCAGCCAGGACTTGTCACATGGCACCAGAGCTTGAACTTTCTCACCACCTCTGACACCTGCAGCACAACCTCTAGGTCCCCAGCTCTGCTCCTTCTTGGGGAGTCCAGATTGGCCATTCCCTTCCTCCCATACATTGCCAGGCACCAGCTTGGTGCCACCGCCTCTCATCACTGGAGTCCAGCTGTGACATCACTGTGGAGAGCCCCAAGGGCTCTGGCAGGGCATGGCTGCCCTTTCTTGCCGAAGGTGGTGCCTGACAAGCCCTGGGTGACAGGAATCAGATGAGCAATCCTGAAACTGGCTGCCCTACTCCCCTTTCTGCCATCTAAGGACCTAGGAGAAGCCAGATGCCCTGGTCCAGGAGGGCAATACGGTCACCGGTCACCGGTCACCGGGCAGATGTTTTCTCTGTTGACCAAGTCCAGCAGGGCGAGGGGCGGGGCGGCAAGGAGGGGCGTGTCTGGGAGTGCCCGGTGGCTGGGTGTAATGCAAATGATATGCAAACCACCCACCCGTGGCCGGCCCACCGCAGTTCTCCAGCCTCAGCAGTCCTGAGAGAGGCCCTCTGCGGAGGAAGCGCCCTCCCCACCCCAGGGCCAGGACCCCGCTTTGGTGGTGATGGGGGAGGAGGGGCGAGCCGGCGGCTAATGGGCTCATGATTCATCGCTGGGGCTCTTGTCTCCGCTAATTGGCTCTGCCCGCTGGCTGATTCATGGCTGGGAGCCGGGCTCTGGGGGACCCCCGTGTGCCTCCCCCGCCGCCCCCCCAGGATGGCTGCGTGAGGCTTTTAGATCCAGGATCCGTTCCAAGGGCCGGCATCCCGGCATCCATCACTCTGACTG